TAAAACCATGCGACAGTCCCACTACCCTGTGCGAAAGTGTTTCCTTGTAATGACAACAGGTTATACTTGTATGCAAATTTGGAATATACAGAATCCTCATTGTGAAATCCACAATGACTGATATTGGACAGTATTAACTCAGACAGATAAACTAAGTAATAATAATCATATATAAACAATAAGTAATTTTGAACATCAGTGTAGCGTTTACAGTGCAATGTACATTAAGTCCAAGAAAAAATAGTGATGTCTCTGGTATGGTCTGGTTGCGTGTGTCAGTTACAAATATGCATGTATGCAACACTTTTTATCAGTATTTTGTCAGAATTTCAGGAAATTCAAAAAAAAATTACAATTAACTGCAATTTCTATCAAAATTTTAAATTATATTAAAAATAAATAAATAAATAAAATTAAATTCGATTTTGGAAAACAAATTGACTAAAAATATATATATTTTTAAGCCTAAAGTCATCATGCCCGCGCTGCTACAAGAATTACAACACTAGACTATATTGTCTTGCACTTTATTCATAGTTATTCATAGAGTTTGGTATACAAGTACATTGAGTATGGGGATTTATATTCTCAGTGTTTAGCAGCTGATTTACCTTTAATGCTGCATGTTGATCATGTTCACCAACTAGTAAGCCTTCATTCATCAGACATTCAGCCCTGTAACCATCTTCCCCAAGCTGTCAACAACAAAACACATTGTCATTATTTAGTGCTTGATTAGTAGAATACTTTAGATATAAATGAAGAGTGGACCTCAAACATTAATTCATTCATTCCCAGTTTCTTGCCGTTGCACTTCTGTAACACTGAATTGGATGCCTGGCAAGCTAATTGCAGCGAGATACTGGGGAAACTTGCTCATAGTATTCAGAGGTGTGAAGATAAGTAGTATTATCACAAGTAACACATACATGTCAATGGTATCAACGAACATCTGGTGACCCATTGTGTTGTTTACACAAATATTATATATAATTTAATTAACAACTTGATGTACAACATGAATTTCCAACCACGACTGTAATGTGATCTGTCTGTGGTAACAAACCATATATGTTTAGAAGTTTCAATCCAAAGTGGTTGTATATGATATTATTTAGAAATAAAACAATGTTGTTGATATCCATTTAGTGGTATAACTGTGAATGAAGTCACATGAGCCCAAGCTCATCATGTGAGGTTCACACAATTTGATTGGAATCTGCCATTGCTTTGCCAGTGAAAAGCTGTTCAACAAAGTATGTGATCACCATTATGAAAATATAGAAAATTTAATCGAAACCCCCAAAAAAGTGCCACAGAAAATAACCATTTGTGAAGTTGATACAAAGTTTGAAATCAATTCACCCATGCTCATTCCACTAGTCCCTGTTTCAGGTTGTGCTTGACAGGGGCTAAACAAATCAGAGCTGAGAGGGAACAGTAACACCACCAATGACCGCAAGTGAATTAGACATAGAAGCCTTAATCCAAACATAACACATTGAAATGTACATGTACCTCGAGAAATATTTCTTTTGCTTCTCTGACATTTCGAAATCCTTCCTCCATTGCCTCTGTTGCTGAAAAGTTGGAGTCTCCACCTATCATGTACCAAGTTTTGATATTGAAGGCTAATTTTGTCATGGAATACGCTCTTTTGAACTGAAAGTAACAACAGGACACACACATGTATATTATTTTTTAGTTGACACAAGTCTATCTCTTGAACAAAATTACGCAATGTATTCATGTAAAACTGATTTCATTTTTTAAATTTAGGCTGATTTTTAATCTGGATTTTCAACAGATAAAAACAATAACTCCCTTTATATTGTTATTCAATTTACATACCATATTATATATATTAGTTGTGCATGGGCTGAGGTGTTTCAATGGAAATAATTAATATTTGTAATGATCCAGTATATAACAAATGTGATTTTTGATTTATATTATATTTCTATAGTATTATACATGGGTTTCTAACAGTGCAAATACGGTATATAGATGTAAGATACTTACTTTGTGCCTCTCTCCTTCAAAAGATCCTCTGAGCTTGATTGCCTTCTGTCTGAAGTCAATACAGGGTCTCAGTACTGGAAGCATAGACCGACTAACATAGTCAATCAGAACAATTTTCTATACAATAAAAGTGAATATGTCAACATAAGTTGACATGAAAATTAGAACTGGATCAAAGTTCATTAATCCATGAATAAACAATGTTGAGTGTGAATCAACACTATTGAGTCACCAAAACCTGAATGGTATGTGTACATTAATATCATTCCCCTCTAATTTCTAAGATTTCAAGATCCAACTGCAGAACATCACAAATTAACAGTGTACGTGAATGTAGTATTATAAAAACACTCACCGCATTGTAAATATTTGCTGCTAAGTCATATAAAACAACTAATCTTTCTGGACGTCCCCCTAACTCATCTTCTTCTAATTTCATGGCTTTCTGTAATAAGTCATGACTGCTTTCAAGTTGGCCTTCTTGCATTCTAGAAACAAAATAATAACAAAATTATAAATGTGTAAATATACAACTTTTAACTTTTTTCTGAGGGTTTTCCGCTAGTTTCCACTGAGCTTTCTATCTTACCGTTTTCAAATAAATAAACAATAAAAATTATTAAAAATTATTAGTACCGGGTACAACAAAATATACTCACAGAATCATGGATATCTGTTCATATCTTATTGCTAAATCATCTTTACTTGTCTGAACCATGTTTTTCAAGTTCTCCAAGGAGTCTAAGTAACATCGTTCCATCACTTTGGCACCACCACCCTATAAAATGATAAAATCTAAATCTAAATAACCTATGTTATGACATCCAACAGGAAGCAAAGTAATCAGTTAGATGAAGTACAGTACACCTTCTTCGGTCATAAGCCCAGAAGCCTCAACATGTAAAATCAGGGAAGTTAAGGTTGGGACTGAAGACCACCTTAGAAAAGATGAATTGCAACAACATAACCCCCTCTCAAAAATAATCCAATAATTTTTGTTCACTCCGTGCCAGACTGGGGAAAATAAAATTGCCTAATGAGTTGTATTATTATTGTTTTCTACAACACTTTCACAATGAAGAAACAATCATAATCTAATTTTGAGAATAAGTTACGAGCATGATACATTTAATAAACCTCAATGCTGACTTCATTTCAATTAACAGGTATATATAAAATAATGGTGGGAAAACATAATTTAACATAATAACAATCAATTATTTTTCACTAGCAATGTCAACTAAAATAGAAGCATACTGTATTTTATGTACATGTACATGTTGCAGCATAATGTTGTATAATGATACATAGCATGAAAGTCACTTGTGAATGATGACAATAATGTGAGACAAAGACCATCTGCAAAAACATCATCTTCTGCCATTATATAATACGTGGAAAAAAATAACACCCTGTTGACTCAGAATGAACAGAATATGTAGCTAAATACAGGTTATGGAATATCTTTAAAACATGTTTGCAAGACTGACTATCTAGGTGATGATCGACTCCCTCTACAGTTGACTCGCATACATTTTGTACATCACTTGACTATGTTTAGTTTCTGTACTCATATATGGTATAAATTTCCTTTTAGAAATGCCTAGACATTGGAATCTTTTGGAGCTTAACACATACTGAATGTAACATCTTTCATGATGTGGATGCAGTATGGTAATGTGAAGCACTTTGAGTTAAACATGAAAGCTCACTATTGTGTAAGGATGACTGAAAAAGTTTGTAAATTTAGTTGTACACACCTTTCGCCAAAAGTAAAGCAGCCTGGAGCTATACTCTTCATCATAAAGATGATCAAAGACTGCCCATTCTGTTAGAAAACTTTGCAACCTGACCTTGTCTTTAATTCTAACAAGATGTACTGGGTACTCCTGTGGGAAAGATAAACTATACATTATATAACTGCAATCACTCCTTGGTCATATTATTTTATAAAGTGGTCTTCACAAGCTTCACAAGTGTACACAGTTGTATTCATCCAGATTGCATGGTTGATATGATAAATGATTTTGCTTACTAAGATATAATCCTTGATAACACTTTTTTCTTAGCCTGGTGATTCACATTTGAAGAAGTTTCATCTTATACATGTATAGAGATACATCTGATTACATTTTCAGATGAAGTGCAAAATGATATGCATACCATATAAGCCAAAAA